CCCTGCAAGGTCAGGATGCGGTCGGGCGCCGCGACGACCCGCGAGACAATCGCGGGGGCCCAGCGGTGGCCCTCGAAGAACTCCCCGGGGACCTCCGCGAACTCCCCCAGGCGCGCCCCGATGATAGACTCCAGGCCCAAGACGCCCAGCAGGCCGACCAGTGTAGCGGGCAGCGAAGCTGTTCCACGTGGTGGCGAGGAAGAGAAAGGCGATGGTGGCCGGGCACTCCCTCTCGCCTTTTCGGCGCCAGCCACTCGGCGGCGCCAGCCTCGAAATCGGAGGCGCCTCTCGCATCGCGCCCGCCGCGTCGCGCCAGCCTCGGGCCCTGCGGGAGATACAGCAGCGACCAGATCAGCGGCCAGGGCCGCAGTTGTCACGCACGGCGCCGTGCGAGGTCGCGCGGGACTCGGCGCGCGCAGCAGCTCACGACGGAAGAGGCAGATCCAAGTCACGTGGCCGATTGGCGCCTCCAACATCCCCGACGCAGACATGGTGCCCCGCGCCGCCTGGAAGCGCCAAAGGTTGCGGCGCTCGACCGAGGGCCATCGCCCCTCGCGCAACTCCAGGCCGACCAGCATCGCGCTCGGCGAGGCGTCTGTCTCCTCGTGGATCGCGAGGGTCTGGCCGCGCAAGGTGGCAGAGACCTCGCCTCCCCTGCGCGCGGCGAGCTCCGCAGACTGGCCAAAGACGTAGAAGTCGTCCACGTTGCCCGCCGCGGCGCAGCCGAGGGCGAGCGCGGCGGCGCGGCGCGGCGCAGCGCCCCTTCCCCACAACGCCAGACTCGGCGAAGCCAGGAGATCGCCCCCATGGTCACTGCTAGGCAGAAGTGCATCGCCAGCGACAGACCCGTCCGCGAGATGGTGAGGCGCGGGAACAGCGGGGCGCTGGCCCGCGCGCTCTGGCCGTCGACGCGGGAAACCCCAATCAGCGTCGACGAGAGCATCGGCAGGGCGAAGTAGTCCTCCAGGCCGGACATCGGGCGCAGACGGTAGAAGGCATTGTCAAGGTCCCCGCTAGCGATCGGCAGCAGGCGGTCGTCGCGCTCGACGGCCGACGCTGCAACTGCGGTGGGCAGCCGTGTTGCGGGCGCAGGATGGGCGACAGCGCTGGCACATCGAGCGCCGAAGGCGACGCGCCGTCGCCACGACCTCTTCTCCGCGAGAAAACGCGCCGATCGGGTGGCGCGAGCGAGAGGCCCTCCTTGAAGCGCTGCGTTCCACGATGATGGACCCGACGGACGAAGTCGTCGCCAAACCAAACTGGGCCCCGCGCCAACCGAGGGTCGACGAAGGGCCCGCTGCGGCAAGACCGCCGCGCCGCCCCCTCCACAAACCTCGGGCCCAACCGCGACCCCCCGGAGACAGACCGCCCATCGAATCAGCGGGGCGCGAGCCAAGCTCAGGCCAGGAGACCACCGGCCTCTGGGAATGCGCAGCGCGGGGGCCGCCGCCGTCGGAGTACACGGCGGATCCACTGAGAAGTTCGCGGGGGACTTCTTCCGAAAAGCCTGGCTCATCCGGCATCTGCCCATCCGGGGATCCCGAGGTAGCAGCTCTCCACACAAGTCAAGACATGTCCGCTGCCCCAGGTTGTCGGGCTTGGCCGGGGCGTCGCCGGCGTGGCCGTGCAAAGAATTGAGCGCATCGATGCCGTCGTTGGCCCCCTGAAGCAGCGCGTCGGAGCGGCGGCGCCATTGGTGCGGCGACCGCGATACTCAGCCGTGCGACGAGCCACATGAGATAGAGGGAAGATATCCCGATGGCGTGGACCATCGGCGGCGGCGTGAAGGCCGCGAAAAAGGACCTGGTGCTCGAGCGCGGCTGCAGCAGGCGGCCCCAAGTCCTGCCTCGCGCCCCCTCTGACCCCTTTCCATCATCACCCTTGTCGCCCTTCTTGCTTATCCCTGCCGCCGCTGGCGCCGTCGGAGCGGGCGCGCCGGCGCTCCTCCCGCGCCTTCCTGTTCTCCTTGATGATCGCGCTCTCCTTTGCCAGCTCGGCGCTCGCATGCGACAGCTGCAGGGGATGCGCGCGTGCATTCCCGCGGTTCTGGGCGGGACCGTGGAAGAGGTGGGCGCCCATGGGCTCCTCGGCGTTGGTCGGGAAGCGCTCTCGCCACCCCTCTTCGTGGACCTGGATACTGCTGCGCGCCATCTCAGCTGACGCCGCGCCCATAGAGTTGAGTTGATCGGGGACCACCATCCGCTCGACAAAACCGCAACATCTCTCGTGCTCGGCCGCTCCAGAGTCCGTCTGCGACAGACGTCCCTCCGCCATCCATCTGCTGTGGCGCCCCAGCGGGCTCGCGCCGTCGCCCCGCATGTAGAGGCAGACCCAGAGCGTGGTGCGAAGGCTGGAGATGGGCCAATCCGGCCGCGGGTTCTCCAACGGGCGGTTGACGGCTTCCGCGAAGGGCACGCGCCTGATCCCCATGGGGTTGTACAACACGGGCTGCGCGCGAGGATCCAAAGCCGCGGCGGCGGGGCCCAGCGCGGCCGCCGCAGGGCAAGGGGGCACTGCTGCTGCGGCGGCGGCTGCACCGTCAGCCGGGGGCGCGTTCGCGGCGGCGGCCCTAGCGGCCCCTCTGGCGGGCCCGGGACGGGCGCCCCAACGGCCGCGGCGGATTCCCCATGGATTCGGATCGGTTTCTAATCGGATTCCAAGAGAAACGGAGCAGATCCCAGATCCAAAGCGTTCCTACTGCGATGGGTCAAACTTCTGATATGAATTCAACTGGACAAGAACATATCCCACGTCCCGGAGATTCCGATTGAATGTGGATCCGGCTCTCGTCGGAATCAATAACAGCGGAACAAATCCCAAATTCAGATGATTCCCAATCGGATTCTAACTAGGTTTCAATGACAACGGAGCAGATGCCAGATGCAGAGGACTCCGCATTTGAGAGGGAGAACGAAGACATAACAAATATGAAACGCATCGAAGATGAGGAAGCTGGGGAGATGAGGAGATCGTGGGGATGACGAGTGATAATGGGAGCGGACGGATGATGAGGCGGAGGATGTGGAAGAGGAGGGGGAAGACGAAGCGGATAGGGAGGAAGGAGGGATTAGGAGGAGAGAGGGTGAGGGAGGGGGACGAGGAATATGAGGAGAGAAGCGAAGGGGAAATAACAGGAAAAGGAGGAGGAGCAGAAAATGATGATGAAGAGAATGCCTCCCCCCAGTCCGTTGTGTCGGGGTGCAGGGGGGGCAATCGCATACATACATACATACATACATACATACATACATATACATATACATATACATATACATATACATATACATATACATATACATATACATATACATACATACATACATACATACATGCGTTCATTCATGCATACCAAAATACATACACACAACAAACATACACCCATACATCGATTGGTGTGCACATGTACAGTACATATAGGCATGCATGTACGTATGTGCGTATGTATATATGCATACATGTATGTGCATAGGCATGTATGAATGTATGCATGTATGTGTGTATGTATGTATGCATATATATATATATATACATGTATATGTATAGGTATATGTATATGTATATGTATATGTATATGGATATACATATGTATATGCATATGTATATGTATAGGTATAGGTATAGGTATATGTATATGTATATGTATATGTATGTATATGTGTGTGCGTGTGCAGGTGTGCATGCACAGACATATGGATGCTGATATGTGTGTCTGTCTGTATGTATGTATGTATGTACGTATGTTTGCCTGTATGTGTACAACAACAGATACAGATCGGGGGCAAAAGCGTGATATCGCAATGAAGCGGAGAGCCCCCCACGGGGAAATAAGTGTCGGTTTCGTTTTCGTGCCGTGTGAGCGGGCGAGGCGGAACTGCGCGGGCAGGCGAAAAGAATGAACCCTCCTGAGACTAAAGCGCCGCTGGGCCAACAGACCGCGCCGCCCGGGTCGTCCGGCGGAGACCGAAGGTGTCCCGTGGGTGTCCCATCGGTGTCCCGTCGCTGTCCCGTCGGTGTCCCGTCGTGGGGTTGCTAGTGAGATCGATCGTGAGATCGGTAGTGAAGTCGATTGTGATATCGATAGTGAGATCGACCGTGCGATTAATGGGATATCGATCGTGGGATCGATCAGGAGCTCGATAATTTGTGAGTTCGATCGTGGCATTGATCGTGAGAGGATATTGCAATCGGGTGTGAGATCGGTAACGGAATCGATTCTAAGATCGATCGTGAGCTCTATCGAATGAGACCGATCGTGCGAACGATAGTGAGACCGATAATGAGATCTATCGTGGGACCGATAGGGGAATCGATCGTGATATCGGTACTGGGATCGATTGAGTGAGACGCTGGTCCCCCCCCGAATGTCCTTATCACCCATATGACATGAGATGCGGGGCGTCTGGGGGCCTTGACCGGCCCCCGGCGTCCCTGCCTGCCCCGTACCCTGCGTTCTCCCTCTTTCCGATGCTAGTCGGGCACAGGGACTTGGAAATACCTGAAGGGTTATGAAGAACCTGCATCTTTTCATTCATCATCATCATCATCATCATCATCATCATCATCATCATCATCATCATCATCACCACCACTAACATTCACTGGGTGGTGCGACTCGGTCACAGCTCCACCGAAGTAATGACCCAGAAATGGTTTGAGCTTGAAGCCAACAGGGTACTTATCACGCGGATTCAGCCGAGACCTACGGCCCCAGAAGGCAGGGTTCACACACCGTCCCCCCACCAATTTCGGCACGGTCCTCACGGATCGTGCCCCCCCGTGAACTTTACTGTCGAGTCCAAGGGCAAGATTTGCATCGCGTCCCTTCCCTCGACTCGGCACACCTTTCGCACGGATCGTGCCCCCGAGGGATGTAATTTCACGTGCGGCCCCGATGGAGGAGTTGCATTGCGTCACGTCCCCCTGTGTATGCCGACTGTCTCCCAGCACGGATCGTACCCCACAGGGGCTCCACCGACAGCCCCAGAGCCAAAGTTCGCATCCCGACGCCCTGCCCATGTCAACACACCCCTGACCTGAATCGTGAAGTCGGGGCGTCTTTTTTTGTCCGCGCACGGTTGGGATATGAACACTCCATGGGCGCGCGCGGGGACCGTGTTCTGAGCGCACTCTAGCTGCAGGGCTGAACGGCGCTCGAAAAGGTGCCGATTCTATCAGGCAAAACAATGGAAACTATGAGGCACACCGAAGCGTAACAAAATCGCGGCCGAACAGAGCTCGATCACAGACAGTGGCACATCCATACAAGGCAATGCGCACCAATGCCAAGCAGCGAAGGAACTGTTCAGAATGGAGTGCCGACACTGGCACTGCGATACAACGCAGTGATGAAAACACCATGATACAACGCAGCGCCATGCATCGAGAAGCAAATCAAATGAAAGGCATACATACATACATACACGAATGCGTATACTACCTCCAGCCTGTACTGGTGGCCACGAGTACCCTGCAAGCTCTTCGAAAAAAATAGGGGGGCAAACCAGCACAGCCTCAGTGCGTCATGGTGAGGCAGATCTTGCCGATGCTTTTGCCAGACATCTGAAGCTTGGTGGCATCATTGATATGCTCCATGCCCCCGTACTTCTTCGTGACAGTCGTCTTGATGCTGCCCTGGTCCACGAGCTTTGCCATGGTTGCCATCACGCCACCCACCATCGCGGGCTCGGTGTTGAACATGGGCCGCGCGAACATCATCTGGAAGCACAGCGTCTGCCTCTTCAGCCACACGGTGGTCCAGTCCACCTTCGCCATCTGCTCTTGCGTAGGGCCGTAGGTGACCACAAGCCTCCCGTCGCACACCAGCAGCTTGAAGAGCTCCCCGAGGCGATCGTTCTCGTGGGCGTTATAGATATAGTCCACGCAGTCGAAGCCGACCTGCTTGAGCTCAGCGCCGAGGTCCTCGTTGCGGTGGTTGACCACGTGGTCCGCGCCCATCTGCTTGCAAAACTCGATGGTCTCCGCGCGCGATGCGGAGGCAATCACTGTGAGCCCGAGGTGCTTAGCGACCTGGATGACGATCGACCCGAGCCCGCCAGCGCCATTCAAGACGAAGATCGACTTGCCCTTCTGGACGCCCATCAGCTCCACCATGCCCTCCCACGCTGTCTGGAAGGTCAGCGGCAAGGCAGCAGCGTCCTCGAAGGAGAGCGTACTGGGCATCTTGCTGATGAGTCGTGAGTCGATCTTGGTGTACTGCGAGTAGCATCCGTCCTTGGTGATGTCACCTGCGAACCAGACCTTGTCACCGGCCTGGAAGTCTGTCACTCCCTCCCCGACAGCCTCGACCACCCCCGCACTGTCCCAGCCCACGATGAGGCGCTGGGGGGGCGCCTCCTCGCCTGGTGCCAGGGCGCCGGCGATCACCTTGTAATCGATGGGGTTGGTTGCGATGGCCATGTTCTTGACCAGGACCTCCCCGGCCCCTGGCTGCGGCTTCTCCACGTCCATCGCTGTCAAGAGCGCCGAGGCATCGCCGTACTTGGTGACCGCCCACGCCTTCATCATGCTCGTCGCTTGCGCAGAGATCGACGAGGGCTACTAACAACGAGAGGGTCGAGCGATGCTGGCTGGCAGGGTGGCCTGCTCGAGTCTTGAGCCAAAATGGCTACGGATGAAGTCGGGGCGTCTTGGGTGCCTCTCGGGACCTCGCGGCGTGTTTCTCAGGGGCCTCTTGATCCCTTGTGGTGATCGTGGATTGGGAACCTCTGGAAGCCTCTGCGGGAACGCCGTGCAGGACGTAGACGCGAAACGTCTCATCCGCTTCTAGGGGCCTAGTGGGAAGCCTCCTGGAAGCATTCAGGGAGCCTCTTGGGGTCTCTTTAGGAATCTGGGGGGCGTTTTCAGGGTCTCTCGGGAGCCTCTGGGGGCCTCTTGGAAGCGACCCGGAGGCTTCCCGACAAGTGTTTGGGGCATGTTTGGAACCGCGCCCCCCAAGATAGCGTCACACGACCCGTTTTTGTTTTGTTTTTTGCGCACCCTCTTGAGACCCTCTCGGGGCGCCTGGGGACCATCTTGCGGCCCTGTTTGCTTATGTCTGGGGCCTTGTAAGCGGTCTTGGAGCCTCCTTGGACGCTTCTTGGACCGTCTTAGAGGCTGTCAAGACTGGACAAGCGAATCTGCTGAACATTCATATTTTCCGCAAGGGATGGGGTGATTGCTGCCTCCTGGAACCCCTGGGAAAGGGGACTCATTCGAGGCCTCTGGGGGGCCTCGTGGCGCGTCTTCAGACCGTCAGGGGGCGTCTCCGGTGGAGCCAGAACGCCCCAGACGCAATGTTGGACGGTCTTGGGCAAGTTTGGAAAGCGTTTCAGCTGTCCTGTCCGAGACATGTACATTTGTAGATGTATGTCTGTACGTGTGAATATATTTATAGATATACACATGTATATATATATATATATATGTGTGTTCACACACACACGAAAGTGTACGTATATGTAGCTATGTGTGCACGTACCTGTTCAGATATAGGTATCTGTGTATATATGTAGATGGCGATGCGCATGCACATGTATTTGCATGTGAAGGTGTAGATGCCGATGCGTATGCAGATGCACATGCATATGGATATGCACATGTTAGGTACGTGTACTTGTACATCGATAGGCCGGCAGGCATGTACCAATAGATGTAACTCTCAACGTATGTACAGGTATAATAATGTGTGATGCCTATGTACATGCATGGGTGTATGTATATCTATACGTATGTGTATATGTGTGCATGTGTATATGCATATGTATGTATGTATGTATGTATGTATGTATGTATATATATATATATATGTATGTACGTGTGTACGTGTGAATGAATGTATGTGTGCATGTGTGCATGTGTGTATGTGTGTATGTGTGTATGTGTGGATCTGTGTGCATGTATGTATGCATGCATGCATGCATGCATGCATGTATGTATGCGTGTATGTAGGTATGTATTCATGCATGCATGCATGAATGCATGCATGTATGTATGTGTGTGTATGTATGTATGTATGTTTGCATGTATGTATAGAAGCATGTATGTATGCATTCATGCAGGTATACATGTTTGCATGTATCTATATGTATGTATGTATGTATGTATGTACGTACGTATGTATATATACTAGAACCATCGCGCGCGCTTCGCGCGCGCTCAGGTTCCAGCAGGCCCCAGACCTTGACGAAATCACTGCTCCACTGAAGTAGTGGACCACAGTCCACGCATGCCAATCCGCATTCCGGAAGGCTTTCGGGGAAGATGGTTGCGCAAGGGGGCGGAAGCAGGATGATTCGGGTTCCCAGAAGGCCTGGGTTTTTGGGGCGTCTTGGGGAGCCTGTTGGGGCGTGCCGTCGTCGAGGCTCAAGGCTCTAACCTCGCCCTGGGGTTAGAACCTTGGTCGCTTCCGACGGGGAGCCTCGATGGCCCCGCCCGTTGGCGGGCGGGCGCGCGGCGCGCGGAGGCCCCGCGCTGCGCGGCCTCGGTGCATGCATGGCTTCGCGGCAGAGCGGCCGCCCCTGCCGGCCGGCTGGGCCTGGGCAGTCCAACTCGCGGCCGGACCGCCGCTCCCCCAGCGCCGGGAGTCTGGTGGCCGCCCCTGGGAGGAGGGCCGCAAGGGGAACAAGACAGCCAAGCCTCCCAGCTGGCTGCGGCGGAGGCTGGCGGAGCAGCTCCAGGGGCAGCAGCCAGGGGCTGCTGCCCAGAGCCCCCAGCGGGGGCCGCGCTCCCCCTCGAGGAGGCCCCACGGACGCCACGTGGAGGCGGCGCCGGCGTGCCTGGACCCGGCCCCCTGGGCGAGCCCCGCGGGAAGCGCAGCTGCGGGTGGACACCGCCCCGCGGACCGGCCAGAGGGCCGACGAAGCAGGAGCCAATGGGAGAGCGCGAGGGCTCCGGCGCCTGCGCCGAAGGCCCGGCCAAGGCAGCCGTCTCGGCCGCCGCTGCCACCCCCGCTGCCAGCCGCGCGCCCGCGTACGCGCACGTCCCCGCGCGAGGCCAGGGGCAGAGCGACTCAGAGCCGCGGCCCCGCACCCAGAGGCGGCAGGGCGCTGCCGAGCGGCCTGGAGGACAGGCTCCCGAGCCCCGCCAGCTATCGATGGGGGCGAGGAGAGCGAGGAGGCGCCGGCCGCAGCGATGCCGCCGGCGGAGGGGCTCCATGGAGCTCCAGCTGCAGCGGCGACGGCGGACCCCACGTGCGGGGCGAGCTCCTCTGGCTCCGGCCCGCCGACGCCGGCAGGGGGGCGCGGAAACGCAGCCTGCGCAGGGGGGAGCGCCGCGCTGGCCGCGGCTCCGACGCCTCGGGCAGCGGCAGCGGCTCCGAGCCCTCAGACGGCGCAGAACGCCCCGCAGCGACGGGCTCCCCCACTATCTGGCCTATAGGGCTCCGTCATCACTGGTTAAAAAATGCCGTCGTCGTCGTCGTCGTCGTCGTCGTCGTCGTCGTCGTCGTCGTCGTCGTCTTCGTCGTCGTCGTCGTCGTCGTAGTGTCGTCGTCGCCTCTTGGGGCGCGCTGTCACTGTCGTCGTCGTCGTCGTCGTCGTCTTCGTCGTCGTCCTCGTCCTCGTCCTCGTCCTTGTCTTCGTCGTTGCGTCGTCTTCGTCGTCGTCGTCGGCGTCATCGTCGTCGTCGTCGTCGCTTCAAGAGGGCACTCGGGGCAACTTTGTGCGAGACAATCTGCGGGGGACCGCGAGGAAGCGATCAGTCATGTTCCCAGTCAGGTGGTACTTCGGAGCCTCCAGAGACTCTCGGGCCCATGATGAACAATGTCCCCAGAAGGCGTTCTGGGGACCTGATTTGTTGGGGTGTGTTGGGGGGCCTCTTGGGCGTGTCCTGGGGACCTCTTGGGGTCCTCCAAGAACTCTCGGGCCCATGATGAACCATGTCCCCGGAAGACTGTCTGGGGACATTTTTTTTTTTTTTTTTTTTTTTTTTTCTTTTTTTCCCTTGCACATCGGTCATATACTTGTTGAGTGCCGCGCACAAGATCAATGCATTGCTGCGGTAGGGCCCCCCAGACGTAGTCCACTTTCGCTCTTGACCACTGCGCAGTGCCATGGATTTCAAACTTAGCTGAGTTACGGCTGTAGTCAGGCGTATTGAACTCATTGGCAACCCATACGCAGTTATCTGTAATGTAACCATGCTCATTGTTTAAGCGCTCCAATGACATTCGCCAGTGCGAATGTGGTGTCGCGTATTCCATTGGAACGCCTGAGTAATAGCATCTCCCACGCTGTGCCCAAAGCTGGTCTAGCAGTGTGTCGAGGGTCAACTCGAAAGACTGATTCCAAACTTTTGCCGTACGCGATGCGGCGTTTGCCATCATGGACAGAACACTTCCGCGCAGACATGCTCTGCGAAGGCGCGAAGATGCACACTCGCATGCCTTGCATCGACTGGAGAGTTTCAGAATCTGAGAGACACCCCGTCTGCTAGCATAAAACGAGCCTGCTGGCTTATACGCTAAGCAAGCCGAACACCTCCACTCGCCGGCTGCGTTCGGCATCCTTGGGCTGCAGCGTGAGGCACGCGAAGCAGGCTCACGGCGACCGCTCCAGCGGGCCTCCTGGACATTGTTGCTTAGTTCTATTAAGTCGAGTGGCGCCTGTCGTAAGATTGGCACTTGTTGGAATTTACATCTTGACCACTGAGCAGAACCATGAATAGGCGACGCCACACGCCTTCCAATGCTATTGTCAGACGTGTTGAACTCAGCAGCAATTAAAACACAGTTGTCGCGACTATAGCCACTGTCATTGCTGATACGCTCCAAAGACATTCTCCAGTGAGAGTTCGGCTGCAAGTAATTGAGAGGCACTCCAGAGTAGAAGCAACGCCCTTGCTGCTCCAACAACATCGCGAACACATCGTCGCCAACCAGCGCATGGCTGGAGCCACGCTGCGATGCGCGGTGCCGGGATGACGATATGAGGCCCTGAACGCAGCCGCTCAAGGTGGACCGATGCAAATAATTCCTGACCGACTGGCACTCTTTGCAGTAACTCTGCAAGGAGTTGGAAGACACTGAGCGAATGTTGAATGCACCCCGTGCCTTATAGCACCCACAGTTGTAACACCGCCAATCACCTGCCTCGTTCGGCTGGCGGGGAACTCGCAATGTGTGCCCTCGATCTCGCAGCACAATCCTCTTCCTGGCATCCTCGACAGCTTTCTCAAGGTCCTTCAACACGATATCCTGAGTGTTGAATGTCGCCGCAAATCGCTTGCGCGGTTGCAGGACCATGTGCCATTGACCAAACAGTTGAGAAACCGTGATGCGCGATGCAAGTGAAACAAACACAGACCTGCGCGCTACAAAGCGAGACATTGAACAATGGCACAACTTGCGGCGACTACGTAATGTCATGTGTTCGATCGTTGCGATTCGTGGGGAAAGCGCACCAACTTTGCCCTCCTTTCTGCTGCCATTCGCGCAAGGTCAACGGCATGCATACTGCGCGGACGAGTGCGGCCTCGTCGGAAAAAACATACGACACAACGCATCAGCCTGCTCCAAGCTGGTCGAACCAATCTGGCCTGAGCCGAGGTGGCTTGAGCCAAAGTGGCTTGAGCCAAAATGGCTACGGAGGGGTGTGTTGGGGGGTCTCTTGGGCGTTCCCTGGGAGCCCCTTGGGGGTCTCTTGGGGCTTCCTGGGGGCCTCCTGGGTGCCTCACGGGGCTTCGTGGG